TCCTGTGTAATGAACAAAGTGTTAACAGGATGACGAGACTTCAAAGCACATTTTGAAAGTCTGAGAAAAACCTCAAATGTGACTTCAGTAGTTTTACATCAAACTCATATGAACAAGGAATATTGTGAATATACTTCACTTGGATCAGTGGTTGAAGTAATATTTGAATGGAAATAGAAGAAATTCATAATAAATGCAATTAGATTGAAACATGTTTAGTGAGTTTTCAAAACATATTCAGTGTAGTTACTCTTCAACATGTATACAGTAGAGCTTTAGTGGTTGAAGCGTTTGCAAAACATGATGAAAGTAGCTCATTTATTACCTTTTACGATCAAATATGTCCCACTCCATTTAGAACTGACTAACCGCTCAACAATTGCACAGTGATAGATTCCCTCGTCCTCTTGGATTGTCTTCAAAATCGTCATGTTAATCAAATCATCATGAATATTAACTTTCCATCTTGAGTTAGGAAACTCTGGTGCAAACTGAGGTGTTATATGTTCCCGCAGATTCACAATTAGTTTCAGATTATCTCCAACACTCTGCTTGTACCAGTGGACTTCTACTCGGCTGATATCAGTATTAGACAGATCACATGTGAACGTTGTAGATTCACCAAGTTGAACTGGGATCACTGGAATGAGTGTATCTGAATTGAAAGAAAATATATAAGTTATAACTTACAGTGATGGAGGAAATCCACCTGATAACAACATCATGTAAAAACGAGAAAGCACTCACGTCCTTGATGAAGAACAAGCAATGTAATCCACAACACGATCATCTTGACACTGTCTCCTGTCAGGGACCTTGTTGCTGTTTTAATGAGTGTAGGAGGTGATGTAACTTGGCCAAGACCCTCTATGTCACACTGACAAATGCATGTGATTGGTTGTCACAGAATAAAGACTCAAAAATTCACTTCCTGCCACACTGGTCTCGTTCAAGGCTTTGAGGAGTAAATCACCTCATTTATATCCATTTACTCATTCATTTTAGTGATAATGGTAAAGCATTTTGTTTTTATGAATGTTGAAAGCTCATATTAAATATTGCCATCTTTGTTAGGTAATGTCCATCCTCTGTCCTCACTATCAGCTGCACAGCTAAACACACAACCAGGAACTTTAGACAGCAGGTGTTTCTTATGATGTGTCCACTGTAGAAGTGGAAAACCACAAGCATTATTTCAAACAAACATATTGTCAATACAGCCCTTTAATTAAGCCCCTGAAATCGGGTTCATAAAATATATAGATTGTTGGTAAAAAAGTAACACGTCAACATTAAAGGGGAACTCCAGACAGTTTTTTCACCTCACAAATACAGTGGGGAAAGTAAGTATCTGATACACTGCAGATTTTGCAAGTTTTCCCACCTACAAAGAATGGAGAGGTCTGTCATTTTTATCATAGATACAGTCTAAAAAAAATCCAGAAAATCACATTGTATGATTTTTGATTAATTAATTTACATTTTATTGCATGAAATTAGTATTCGATATAATAGAAAAACAAAACTGAATATTTGGTAAAGAAGCCTTTGTTTACAATTACAGAGGTCAGATGTTTCCTGTACCTCTTGACCAGCTTTCGGCTTTCGGTGCTGTCACTGGGCAACACAGAGTTTTAGCTCCCTCCAAAGATTTTCTATTGGATTCAAGTCTGGAGACTCTCGCTAGGCCACTCTAAGACCTTGAAAGGCTTGTTACGAAGCCGCTTTAGGTCATTGTCATGCTGGAAGACCAAGCCATGACCCATCTTCAATGCTCTTATTGAGGGAAGGAGGTTGTTGCCCAAAGTCTTGCGATACATGGCCACATCCATCCTCCCCCTGTCGTCCTGTCCCCTTTGCAGAAAAGCACCCCCAAAGTATCATCATCCTTCTTCCTCCAAACACAGCGAGTGGAGTTTAAACCAAAAAGCTCTATTTTGGTCTCATCTGACCTCATGACTGTCTCTCATGTCTCCTCTGGATCATCTCGATCAGGGGTTGGCAACCTGCGGCTCCGGAGCCACATGTGGCTCTTTCGTACCACTGCTGCTGCTCCTTGTGGCTTTGGAAAATAAATAGTGAGTATCTAATTAAAATTTGTTTTATTTTAGTTTGTTAGTTCTAAAAATGTAATTCTACATTTGAAGATTATGGTGATCTTGTAACATTAAAATAAAATGTTTAAGTTTAAATTTTAAATTTATTGTTGCTCAAAATGTGCATCACACTCACCGAACATCCGTCGGCACGCACAGCGTTGCCAACTTGGTGACTTTCTCACTAAATCTGGCGACTTTGCAAATCCTCTAGGCAACTTTTCATTGTCAAAAGTGTCTACAGACAAATCTAACGAATCCTTCTCATCTTATTGGACACTGTTCTGGTGTTTTGGAAACTCTGACATGAAAACATGTATTGATCTGCAGTTACTGTCTTCAGCGAGCAGCGGTGCTGCCGTGAGCTCCTCCCGTCCCAAAGCGCTCACAGGCGGTCAGGAGTCTGGTCCAGTGAAGGACGGTCAGGGGAGAGCCTCCCCTGACATCACGGAAAGAAAAAAATATATAATGATAAAATAATTTAAAGTTCAGTGATTTGTACTATAAAGTACTTATTTTTTCATTTAGCCTCGTCAATTTTGATGATTTTTAAACTCAGAATTGCTGAATTTTCGCAATTTCCCATTCAAATGCTTGGAAGAGAAGCCAGTGAGGCAGCGGCGAGCTGAGTCTCACCTTGGATTACACAATCCCTCCCGCTGGCTGCCTGCAGTGACAGTGTGCTGCTGTCTGGATGTCGCCAATAACATGGTTCAAACACATTTAATATATGAAATGATTTTCCATAGTTCAGCTGATGTGAATAATGTGCAGTGTTTTGTTTTTTGTTTTTTTTAACCAGCTGTATGTGTGTAGCGTGTTTTGTGTGCTGAGCAATCATAAACAGCTGAGAAGAGATTCCAGGTGAGGCAGGCAGTTCTCTGGCCTCATGGCAGGGGGCGCTCTGATCCCAGACATGCTTCTTGTGACTCCGCGGCTGCAGAGTAAGTGACGGCAAGCTAGACTAGGTACGATATACAGTTAGCAAGTCAAGTGCAGCGAAGGAAGATAAGGAGACTTTTACAAAAAAGTTGTCCAGAATGAGCGGAGCATGGACCTCATTTAAAGGTAAAGGTAAGACCGCAATAACTTAAAAAAAGAAAAAAGAAAAATTTTGTGGGCTACAGCTTGTATATGTAAAGAATGCAGATATGAAACATGACCCGTAAACTGTTGCCAGTCAAATGGCAAATATGCTACTGTGTAGAGTGCATATATTTGTAAATCAGATTATGATGAAGTCAGTGCCTCACCAGCCATGAACCTCACCGCACGTCACTGGACTGGTCAGCAGTCCCAGCTACAGTCAGCAGGCCAACCACCCGCTGTTTTACTTTGCTGCAGGTGGATAATTTAAGTTCAGCTTTTTATTTCATATAAATGAGGAGGACTCAAATAGAAACTGACTATTTTATTTCAAAGTAACCTTCAACCCAGCATCTTTTTTTTTCGGTGGTCAAAATTTTTTTGTTGCATGCAGAAATAAAATTGCATTTCTTTGTAGTAGTTCATTGATTTCATAAATGCAACACACTGTAGTTTTTTATACATAACATAAAGGTAAAAAAAAAACATATATATGCAGTGTTATTGTCATTTTAGATGTCAAAAGTGTTTTGTGGCTCCCGGTGTTTTCTTTTTTGTGGGAAACAGGTCCAAATGGCTCTTTGAGTGTTTAAGGTTGCCGACCACTGATCTAGATGGTCATTGGCAAACTTCAGACGGGCCTGGATGTGTGCTGGCTTGAGCAGGGGGACCTTGCATGCGCTGCAGGATTTTAATCCATGACGGCGTAGTGTGTTATATATGGTAACCCTTGAGACTGTGGTCCCAGCTCTCTTCAGGACATTGACCAGATTCTCCTGTGTAGTTCTGGGCTGATCCCTCACCTTTCTCATGATCATTGGCACCCCATGAGGCAAGATCTTGCATGGAGTCCCAGACCGAGGGAGACTGACAGTCATCTTGAGTTTCTTCCATTTTCTAATAATTGCATGAACAGTTGGTACCTTCTCACCAAGCTGCTTGTCATATTGTCCTGTAGCCCATCTCACCCTTGTGCAGGTCTACAATTTTGTTTTTGGTGTCCTTAGACAACTCTTAGGTCTTTCCCATGTTGGAGAGGTTAGTTTTTGATTGAGTGAGTGTGTGGACAGGTGTCTCTGATTTCAGATCAGGGGAAATGCAACCTAACTGTGGACCAAGGAAAGCATCAGCTGACTCTGTCTGCGTCCTGGACTTGATGTTGGTGATTGGATGCAGGGCCTTCACTGCGTTGGAAAGCGATGATGCCTGGATTAGATAGAGATGGGGGTCTCTACCACATCCGGGACCTCCTCCTCTTTTGGGGGCTGGCTTGACGACTAGGTGGGTTCCCCAGAAAGGAGACTCCATGACAGTATCAGTGGTATCTGGGGAAAGGCTAACGGGCTGAAAGCTAATCAGGCCTACTCTAACCACCTGTGGTGTTAGCTGGGACCTAGCAGGCCAAAACACAAACACACAACAAGAATGAATGAATACAGTTGAAAAATACAATTAACTAAAGGGCCCTCAGTAGAGGGATATCATTGCCCCTGCCAGCTATGATTGCACTGAGCTGCAGTAAACCATTATTCCTTCCAAGTTACCACAAAATAGATTTTTTCCTTTACTGATCGTGATTGACTGGCTGTCCAAGAAGTAATGGGTACTATCCATGTATACATTACATGTTATTTAAAATATAATGGCCACATTGTTCCAGTGCCTAAAAAACCACAACCAGCTGAACCCAATGACTACAGACCAGTTGCCTTGACATCTCACATCAGAAAAGTCCTGGAGAGACTCTTACTGGCTCACCTCAACAAGCAAGTCAACACCTTTCAGGACCCATTACAGTTTGCATATCGTAATGGGCTTGGGGTTGAAGA